CCCCAAAACCCCAAAACCCCAAAACCCCAAAACCCCAAGCGTAAAAGAATAGATGTTGAAAGGAACAACTATAATTGAAATTGAATTTAAATATGAAATAATCATTTACTTTAAATAAGCCTCCTCGTTATCACTAATAAACCTCAACCCAACACTAAACAGCTTTAAACATTCAACTAGCGAATGCATTCCAGCAAGTAGAAAACATTAATAACTCAGCATCATGCAAAAATTTGCTTTAGCAACGAAACGTGACATCACCCTTGCTGGATGTCTCAAATATCTAGTATCAAACAACTGTAATGAATGGAAGTAATTAAAACATTTCTATGCAAATTCAAACTTTATAAGATCACGAAGAGAGTTCTCAAATGTTGAATAATAAAGGTAAATATGCTACAGTTGATAATAATGATAAGCTAAGTATTTTGTTCCAAGACGAGCAGAGTGAAAATAGTGAAAACCCAATGCCAGAATAGTCAAATAGTCTTGTACAAGAATACAATTTGTATCAAATTAACAGAGAGAAAAGTGGAGAAAAGAGTTTAACTAATTGTTAAGGCCTTTTGTAAAGCTAATTATTTCTAAATAGAAACTCTAATGCTAATAGATATAACTAGAATGAATCGGATGACTATTGCACTTTAGGCAATGATTCTTACAGCCAAAGTTTAATTTCTTATAAAAACTAAAATAGCCCTGGATCTCCTTAATTCTAGAATGCAAGTTAAATGGATAAAAAGAATGATAGATAATCTATTACTCAAAACAATTTAAGAAACTAATTTATGTAGCTTGAAATAGATGATAAAGAAAACAATCCTTATGAAGACAATAGCGCATATTCTAAATAAAACTAGAATAGAGGTTTAAACACTTCGAAAGCAAAAGAAATTAAGAGTTAATGGATTGATTAAACCACTAGCGCGTAAAGTTGTTTTTTGACAGGCAGAGGATCTACTTACGGAACTCAATCCCATATTACTGTTCATAGTGCTATGGATTAAGTCATATTGAAACATCATAAGGCAGCCTAGAAGCAATATCTTAAAATGAAAAGTTTGAAAGGACCTGTTAATCAGAATTCTCGCAAAGAACTGCATGGTTAAACAAATTAAGCTAATCAAGAAACTAGTCAAACTCTTGGTTCTTCACAACTAATCTAAAATGAAAATCTTACATATTAAGAGATATACAATCAAAGAAAGAAGTCAGTTCAGCATGCCTCATCAATACATCCAGTCAAACACTAGAGAACAAACAGCTAAAATAATGATCAACCTCAAATATAAAAGAAGAAAGCAGAAGTTTCAATGACCACTAAAAATTCTACCTTGCCAGATTAGAAAGTTTTTGTGTTCCCAAATAATACAATAAATAGTAGATTGGATGAAGAAGATCATTTTAAAGAAACATTCAACACCATTCACTAGATAGTTTAGGGTATCAACAATAGAAAGAGTAGTTTTGGAGGTATTTCAAATGTGTCTGCAATATCCTAAGGAAAAAGGACTACAGAGACCTAGCCATTTCCACTCTCAAGATCAAATTCTAGAAGAACAAAGGATGTGTTGAAGTGCCAAATCAATAATGAAATGAAGTAAAATTAATAGTTCAAAGCAAAGAGAGCACCTGGCAATAACCCTCCCAAATTTATAGCTTTGAAATCTACTAAAGCTTTGACTATCCCTCAAGAATTCAATCTAAAAACAGATCAAAGAGAAGTTAGTAAGATGAGGGAGTAATCAATTGGTGGTATCACTCAAAATACTTAAATGTAGGAAAGAGTGTCATCTTTGAAAAATCTAGTTCCAAAAAGTGAAGCATACAACTCTTTTGATTCTAATAGCAATTATACTCTTACTTAGAGCTAAAGGCCCCCTTCTTCATAGTAGCAGCATCAATCAGTAATATAGCACCAGAAGTAATAGAGCAGTATCACACTAAACCATTGTAGAAACTCGTCTTCAAATCTAAATTCTAAAAATACATCTAAAATGCACTAGAATTCCACTATGACTTCGAGTGGAGCAGGTTGTGATGTGAATCTAAACAAATACTTAAAAGGCAATATTAAAAAGATGAAAATAGGGCAGAATTATGCCTAGTTAGTAAATTATGCCAAAGCCAAATTTGTTTAATGATGAATAGTCTGCTATGAATTAAATGATCTGAGAGGTCTTGGTTTGACTCACTTCAGTAGTTTCTAATTTTTATGAGACTAAATTGTGAAATTGTAGATTAATGTATAAGTTTGTTTAATAATATATTATTGAAAAAAGTTTATTAACAAACATAAATTTCTATATAAATGTCTTAGAAACTACATAATGAAAGAAAGAAACCCTCTAAATCCTAGTGATCAGAGAAATTTCATTTCTAGTCTTTAAATAATTCAAACACCATCAAATATATAGTTCAAATATTTAAAAGCATAGAGGAGCTTTTAATTCTTTTTTAGCTGGGTTCTAAATTTTCCAGATTGTTGGAAAGTTACTAAACATTCCTCTTTCCTGAATTGGATTTGTCCTTGTTGAGTCGACGTTTTTACTTATTGTAATCATTAAGATAGCAATTCTGACACTTGCCCTTTGCATACACTAATCTATCAGTATGAGGGCAGGCATCAGCATAGCTATTCCTACCATATTTGTGATAGCAATGATTGCACATTCCCTATAAAATTTAATTAAATGGGTAAAAAATGGATATACCTTAGCATAATGTTTCTGGTTTTTGTGAGGACATTTCATAATTTCCATGGTGCGCCTATAAGGCAAAATCTTTGAGAGAGCATCTTAATTTGATTCTACGGAATTAATCAAATCTTGATGTTTTTATTTCGATTTTTGACATTCTGATCTCTTCATTTGAGATTCTTTCAATCTTCCCTCAATTTCGTCATTATTTGACTCAGAACTGGGTGATGGGGATCCTGATGAACCTTAGAACAAGGTTGAATCCTCATTTGATGATTAAAAGTTAGTACTTTTTCTAAATTATTGAGTATTGTCTTTATTTATATTTTGAATGTAATCTAGAAGGGTAAGTTTATATGAATAGTACCTTAATTAGAAAGAGTATTGCATTAGCCGAAATTTTCTAAAGACTTTTAAAGATCTTTCTAGAGATTACTATCATTAAATGACTATTATTATTAATATCCAAGTTGGTTTCCTATTTAATTCTATCTAAATGCACAAATCGCTTATTCTTCTTGCAATTGGCTTTAGTTTGATATCAAAATGGTTGGTTTGTCTAAAAAATTAAATATGGAAGTAGTTTGAATACATTTCTTATCCTTTAGAGGGAGAGCTGAAACAAAATTAAAGGCTGAATCTAAATTATTCTAATTCTTTCGCTAGTCGAAAAAATATGGCGCATTCAACTGTTGATCTTGCTTTGCTTACTTCACAGACTGCTATTGTCTCTGTAGTAACTATTGCAAGATAATCTAATTTTCTCTTTCGATTCTTTTAAGAAAATCGATGAGCATTTGATTATTCAGGTTATCTTTTGAGATGGATTATTATACAGCGGATTGAATCCTTGATGTAGATAATAAGTTTTCGAAAATCGAGGAATCAGACAAATCTTGAATTGAAGGCAATATTTTCACATTAAATGTTGCTCTCTACGAATTATGTCTTTGATCATTTAGAGTAGTATTAATGATAGTATTATTGTTTGATCTATTAGCCTAGAGATACTACTAGTTTAATTAATTGTTTGTCTGATAAACTGATGATTTCACAAGATTACTATCTTAGCAATTTCCACTACTAAGTGATTATTGAGTCTATTCAAGAGCATTTGGAGGTTCATCAAAGGTTTAAGAGACCTTTTGAGCCAAATTATTATTATAAAGATGGTGATAGAGTGAGTTTTGAATTAAATTAAAGTTTTAAGAGTGAGGCTGAACCAGTGAGTCAATTTGAGACTGCCTATTCTTAATTTAAATTTATTAGGTCAGTTCTTGAGGTAAATCTCTGACTAAATTAGAGAATACAGTCGAAACTTGAGGGAGGACCGATGGCATTTATATATCTTACATTCTATCTAACGATAGTATTTCTTGTTCTAGAAATCTTATTATTTATTAACTTTAGTCAGACAGCCTATAAACTCATGACTTTATTTAATTAAGATACTGCTAAATAATTTTATACTCGAACAATTCAAAGTATATCAGAAACCTATTTTTCAGTTATGTCCATTGCCTCCTTCAACACGGGGTTTTGGGGTTTTGGGGTTTTGGGG